CCTCCCGAGCTCAAACCATCCTCCCATCTCAGCCTCCCAAGTAGCTGAGATTACAGGCGTGCACCACCACACCCAGCAATTTTTGTATTTTTTGTAGAGACGAGGTTTTGCCAAAATGCCCAGGCTGGTCTCGAGTATCATGAGCTCAAGCAATCCACCTGCCTCGCCCTCCTAAAGTGCTGGGATTACAAGTGTGAGCCACTGTGCCCAGCCCCACCACCTACTTTGTGAGGTCTTCCCTGACTGTCCTGTTTAAAATTATAATAACCACCAGGTGCAGTGGCTCTGCACCAATTTAGAATAAATTGAGCTCAGGAGTCCTAGACCATCCTGGGCAACATGGTCAAACCCTGTCTCTACCAAACAAACAACAACAACAAAACAACAACAACAAACACAAAAAAACCCAAACAAACAAAAAATAAAAGTTAGCTGGGTATGGTGGCATGTGCCTGTAGTCTCAGATACTCGGGAGGCTGAGGTGGGAGGATCGCTTGAACCCAGGAGGTCGAGGCTGCAGTGAGCTCTGATCTCATTCCACCCTGGGCAACAGAGTCAGATCCTGTTTCAATAAAAAATAAAATAAAATAAAATAAATTTGTAATAACATTTCTTCACACTCCCTTTCTCCTTTACTTATACCATCTCATATCATATGTATTATATATACATTTATTAATGTATTCAACTTATTATTTTGATGAAGTCAAATCAAGATTCTTTTTCTGTTTATTTTTCTTTTCCAAGAAAATTTTCTAAATTCCCAGAAGCTGTTCTCTTTTTTTATGTATATTTTGTGCATAGATATATTTTTAATGTATATTTTATGGAAAAATACATATAACCTGAAGTTTGCTGATTTAACCATATTTAGGTGTATAATCCAGTGGCATTAAGTACATTTACAATATTGATAACCATCATCAACTACTTAGTTCCAAAACCCTTTTATTGCCCCACCAGAAACTGTCTATTAAGCAATAACTCCTCATTCCCTGTTCTCCCAGACCTTAGTAATCACCATTTTACTTTCTGTCTTTATGAATTTGACTACTCTAGATACCTCATATAAGTGGAATAATACAATATTTGTCCTTTCATGATGGATTTATTTCACTTACCATAATGCTTTCAAGGCTCATTCATGTTATAGCATGTAGCAGAACTTCATTCCTCTGTATGCCTGAATAATATATTTCATCATACCACATTTTCTTTTTTTTCTTTTTCTTTTTTTTTTTTTGAGACGGAGTCTCACGCTGTTGCCCAGGCTGGAGTGCAGTGGCGCGATCTCGGCTCACTGCAAGCTCCGCCTCCCGGGTTCACGCCATTCTCCTGCCTCAGCCTCCTGAGTAGCTGGGACTACAGGCGCCCGCCACCGCGCCCGGCTAATTTTTTGTATTTTTAGTAGAGACGGGGTTTCACTGTGGTCTCGATCTCCTGACCTTGTGATCCGCCCGCCTCGGCCTCCCAAAGTGCTGGGATTACAGACTTGAGCCACCGCGCCTGGCCTTTTTTTTTTTTTTTTTTTGAGACTGAGTCTAGCTCTGTCACCCAGGCAGGAGTGCAATTGTACAATCTTGGCTCACTGCAACCTCCACCTCCCGGGATCAAGTGATTCTCCTCCCTCAGCCTCCCAAGTAGCTGGGATTACAGGTGCCTGCCACCATGCCTGGCTAATTTTTTTGTATTTTTAGTAGAGACAGGGTTTCACTGTGTTGGCCAGGCTGGTTTCGAACTCCTGACCTCGATGTATCACATTTTCTTTATTCATTTAGTTTTTGATAGACATTTGGGTTTTTTTCCCCCTTTTGGCTATTGTAAATAGTGCTGCTGTGAATATTGGTGAAGAAGTATCCATTTGAGCTCCTGTTTTAAATTCTTTTGGCTTGGAGTGGAATTACTGAATCATATGGTAATTCTATTTTTAACTTGAGGAACTGCCAAACTGTTTTCCACAGTGGCTGTATCAGTTTACATTCCCACCAGCAATGCACAAGGGTTTACATTTCTCCACATCTCACCAACATTTGTAATTTTCTGCTTTTTTCATAATAGCATTCTAGTAAGTGTGAAGTGGTGTATCATTTGGTTTTGATTTGCATGTCCCTAATCATTAATAACGTGGTGCATCTTTTCATGTGCTCATTGCATATCTTCTTTGGAGAAATGTTCAAGTCCTTTGCTACCCCCACCCTTTTTAAATTTGAGACAGGGTCTCACTCTGTTGCCTAGGCTAGAGTGCAATGGTGCACTCACAGTTTCTATGTAATAGGAATTCAGCAGCAGCTTGCTGACTGGTTCTGGCTTTTGGTTTTTCATGAGATTCAGTCTGACGTGAGCTGGTACTGGAGTAATCTGAAGGCTTGACTGGGGCTGAAGGATTTGCTTTTGAGGTGGCTCATTGGCATGGCTGTCAAGTTGGTCCTGAATGTTGATGGGAGGCCTTAGTTCTTTTTCCTTCACAGAGCTGTTCACACATGGTGGCTGGCTTCCCCTAAAGCATGCGATTTAAGAAAACAAGGCAAAAACTGCAATGACCTAGTCTCAGAGGTTATAATTGGTCATTTTTTTTTTTTTTGAGACAGAGTCTTGCCTCTGTCACCCAGGGTGGAGTTCAGTGGCGTGATCTTGGCTCACTGCAACCTCCATCTCCCGGGTGCAAGCAATTATCCTGTCTCATCCTCCCAAGTAGCTGAGACTACGGGTGCACACCACTAGGCCTGGCTAATTTTTGTATTTTTAGTAGAGATGGGGTTTCACCATGTTGCTCAGGCTGGTCTCAAACTCCTGACCTCAGGTGATCCTCCTGCCTTGGCCTCCCAAAGTGCTGAGATTACAGGCGTGAGCCACCATGCCCAGCCATAATTGGTAACTTTTGCCATATTTTATTGGTCCCACAGACAAGCCTTATTCGATGTAGGAGGGATTACATATGGATACATAAATGAATAACAGGCAAAGAGGATCATTGGGTCAAAAGGAAGGATCGTTCATGGTCAAATCAGAGAATGGCTACCACATGTGTCTATTTCCAGTGCCTAGAACAATGTCTGGTATGATATGTTCAAAAAAATGTTTGATGAGTACACGAGTCCTTCCTTCTTTCCTTTTCCCTTCCTCCTTCTCTCCTTCCCTTCCTCCTTCTCTCCTTCCCTTCCTCCTTCTCTCCTTCCTTTGAAGGTTATGGGGGTGGTCACAGCATTAAAGAAAGATTAGAACAGCAAAGGCTTAGGAAAGGCAGGATTACTGGAACCAGGGATTTTAATATCCTCAGGATGTTCTCCATCTCATTTAGCTTCTCTGAGTATAGCCAGGATCTCCTTAGAGTTTCATCCTTACAGCTTCATAACGAGAGGGCAAAGGGCTTTTACTTTTCCAGCTCTGGTTTGAAAAACCCCAGGGTAGGATTCTCCCAGGCCTGACCCCTTGAATCAATCAGTATGATCAGGCAGTTAAGGTAATGTGACTGGCTTCATTTGAGTCAGGCATCTATACCTGTTAATGGAAAAAGATGGAAGGGGGTATGGACAATAAAAATAGTACAACTCAGTCATAGGTACTCCCCTTTCTATATGTTCCCACCATATTATATCTTGGTACAACAGAACATATAATGTTATTGTTCATTTACTTGTTCATATGTTTGTCTTCTATACTATACTACACATTCTTCTTACACTAGAGTGTGAACACAGGTACCACATTTTTGTAACTCCAAATGATACAGGTTTTGTAGTCAAGAGAGACTCATGCTTGCATTTTTGCTTTTTCTTTCACTAACGATCTGACTTTGGACCAGGCATAGCTTCCCTGTATTTTAAATGGGCCAAATAATAGTTGCCTCATGTGGAAGCACATAACATTATTTTTGACATGTTGTAGGAGCTGAAAATGTTAGTTACTGTCCTTGCTCTTAGGAAAGTAGCTGACATAGTTGATTATCTTTAATATATTTGTGAATAAATGAAGGAGCAAATAAATTCAGCATTCTTAGTGACTGGCTTGGGGATTCACTTGTAAATGGGGATAACAATAGGATTATGATAAAGATTAAGTGAGATGATAGACGAAAAGCGCTTCCACAGTGCCCAGCTATGGTAAGTGCTTTAAAAGCATAAGCCATCAGCAACATGGGGGTATTCACCTATAGTCCCAGCCACTCAGGAGGCTGAGGCAGGAGGGTCACTGGAGCCCAGGAGTTCAAGGCCAGCCTGGGGAACATAGCGAGACCCTGTCTTTAAAAAACAAAACAAAATGGAAGCCATCATGAGAGAGGTAATCCTTTAAAACCAATATATCAGATCTCCTAGAAAAGAATTGAAGAAGTGGCTTTCTCTCTATTTAGGTAGCTTTCACAAGGTATATCACTTGTGAGGTATATTACTTGCTTCTGTATTGCATAGTAAACTCTCAATAGCCCCTGAGTAACACAACTGCAACATCCATTAATAGAACACAATATAGCCTGCAGAATTCCAAAACCTCAGGTAATGAGTGAAAAAAAAAAAAAAAAAAGCCAAAGAGGAAAGTTCTACCAAATTAATAATTTTGTCTTGTGTCAGGAAACACCTAATTATAGAAGTTTCTAACCAATGCCTCAGCATCAGCACTCAAACACAATAACAATTATAACATCATTCTGAGATAAATCAAGTCATAGAAGGAAGGAAGGAGGGACAGAAGAAGGAAGATGGAAGAGGGAAGGAAGGAAGGAAGGAAGGGAGGGAGGGAGGAAGGAAGGAAGGGAGAGAGGGAGGGAGGGAGGGGAGAAAAGAAGGAAAGAAGGAATGAAAAACCAAAATCAATTAGCATACCTAAGACAAAAAAGCTTTGGTTTCAGCATTCCTAGTCCTCCACATTCCCAGCTCCCTACTACCTAACAAGTGTATAAGGTGGAACTGAAAGGGTGTTAAATGGGTGGATCCCAGTGGCAATGTCGTTAACACTCCCTATGAGTCAGCTATAAATTCAATTCAAATCCCCAGTCTCCCTGTATTCTCTGCTTATCATGGTTACCACCAAAATGACTGCTGCCTTTAGAAACCCTAGTGGGAAACAGGTAAATGTGTAAAACAATGTTTGATCTTATATTAAAATTTATAAAAATTTATAACTGCTGTAACAGAAAGTAATTTGTTATTGAGTTAGGATTTATATATTTCGCTTAATCTTCAAAACACAGGAACAGCTTGTTAACATTTCTTCAGTTTTATTTTAAGACTGTTATCTCATTGTATTGCAGCCATTCGAGTGATGAACAAAATTTATGAAGTGTTAGGTTTAAGTGTTAGGTTTAATTCCACACCTGCAAGAAAGGTATTTTAGTAATTGGCTTTTTGTAATTCAACACTTGTCGCAATTCTCTCCTAGCAGTAATTGGCTGCTGTTTACGTTTCTTTGAATATACATTCACAGAGGAGACCTAGCGTGTCTGTATGGGCTTCAAATTTCTCATATGGAGAAGAAGAAAATGACTGGTTACCATAGCATTTGTTCACAAACTCTATTTGGTGACAATGTTGATGGTTGCATGGTCTCTCAATAATGATTTCAGAAGTGTTGCCTCCCGTCGTGTTTGGGAACACAGTTCATAATAAAAGCTACATTAATTTTTCTGTAAAGTATCATGTTTCTAAAATAGTTTCCTCACTTCATCCTTTTTTTTTTTTTTTTTTTTTTTTTTTTTTGGTGGAGGTGGGAGAGACTGCTAATTAACATTAGCTAATGTTTGTACCTGGCTTTAATTAGACAATTTCGCATGGAATAAAAACACATCTCACGTCGCATCTATGATTGGGACTCTTATTTTTATTTGCTTGATGAAGAGACTGAAGCTTACAGAGGTTAAAAGCCAGACTATTAGCAGGTGTCAAAATCAGGATTCTTCAAATTCAGTCTTTTTTATTGGTCTTTTTGTTTTTGCACATTGGTACTTTGTGGGTTTGGAAAATAGTAATTACAATAGCTACTATTTTTGAATACTTGTTATACACATGGTATATATTATTCCATTTAACTGTCACTTCAGTGCTTAAGTAGATATTATTATCTCCAGTTTATGAATGAGAAGATTGGAGCTCGAAGAGCTCAAAGGGGTTGATCACATTTTTGGCAAGAACACTTGAAATTTTAGGTCACAGTCTAGTCACTTGTATTAATGTAGAAGTTACTAGTTCCCAGATAATTGGATAGTTTAAGTGGAATTACTAACTCTAGTTCCACCAAATTTTATCTTGCTTTAAAACAAGTATTTTGGAAAGTCAAGAAATGAATGAATTTCTCCTTTTGGTGGGTAGGAACTGGCACACTATTGATGTCCCATTCTGGTGGCTCAATTTCAAGTTTTTGGGGCTGACCGTGTTAATGTGTAGGATCACATATAGAAGTGATGTCTGAGCTATACAGCCAGAGAGCTTGTTCTTTCCCATAATCATGGCAGATCTAGTCTCTACCTGTGCACAAGTATCAAGAGATAAACAGAATTGTGTGTCTCTTAATAATGTTCTTTCCTAAGATGATGTCAGGGTCTTCTAAAGAATGAATATGGTGGAGGTAAAGTGTTAAAGTGGTGAGGTTAAAGCTATTCTTTTTTTTTTTTTTTTTTTTGAGACAGGATCTTGCTCTATTGCCCAGGGTGCGGTGCAGTGCAGTGGCGTGATGTCAGCTCACTGCAACCTCCACCTCCTGGGCTCAAGTGATCATTCCACCTCAGCCTCCCTAGTAGCTGGGACTACAGGTGCACGCCACCATGCCCTGCTAAGTTAAAGCTATTCTTATAACTCCAGTGCATGGAGGCTATAGCTTTTTATTTGAGTACCTTTCAGATTCATATTGTAGAAAGTAACGAGCCTAGTAAGATAGGCTGTCACTATTTCATTGTGAACCTTCATTTAAAAAACAAAACAACAAAACAGTTTTGAACATCAGTAGGAGTTGAAATGGAGTGTTATGTCTCCTTTTTCTTTAATAGTGCTACCAATAGGACTTTCTGATGAGTGGAAATGTTCTATATTTGTACTGTCAGACAGTAGCCACTAGCCACATGTGCTATTACTGAGTGCTTGAAGTATGTGAGTGTGACTATGAAACTGAACTTTTAATTTACTTATTTTTGAGACAGGGACTCGCTCTGGCACACAGGCTGGAGTGCAGGGGCATGATCTTAACTCACTGCAACCTCCACCTCCTGGCTCAAGTGACCCTCCCACTTCAGTCTCCAGAATAGCTACAGTTGTGCCAATACACCTGGCTAAGTTTTTAATTTTTATTTTCGCAGAGATGGGGTCTGACTATGTTGCTCAGGCTGGCCTCAAACTCTTGGCCTCAAGCGATCCTCCTGTCTTGGCCTCCCAAAGTGCTGGGATTACAGACATGAGCCACCATGCCTGGCTTAATTTAAGTTTAAATGTAAATAGTCACATGCTGCCAGTGTCTCTAGTGGTTGCTGTATTAGTGCAATCCTAGAATGTAACTGAGATGGTCTGGTTCTCTAAAAAAGCTCCCAAATACAAGCGCCCAGGGTGAAGGAGGAATATTGCTCACCAGTGGGTTTGACTTCTCTGGTGAGTTCCTTCTTTGTACCTTGGGTTGTTTTTGCCATTCAGAGGAGTATCTCCCTTGCATTTCCTTTCTGTGAACAATGGAGCTAACATGACTGACTTAAACACCTTTGGCAGTTTAGAGCATGGTGTTCCAGGGTTTAACCCTTGCCAGGTTTAGAGGGGTTCCCCTCCCAGACAGTGACCCAAATCAATGCTAAGGGTGTACAGTATTAGAACATAGAAAACTTTTAATTGCTCACTGAATTTACCGCAAATAAAACTATCTGAGGGCCGGGCGCAGTGGCTCACGCCTGTAATCCTAGCACTTTGGGAGGCCGAGGTGGGTGGATCACGAGGTCAGGAGATTGAGACCGTCCTGGCTAACATGGTGAAACCCCGTTTCTACTAAAAATACAAAAAATTAGCCGGGCATGGTGGCAGGCGCCTGTAGTCCCAGCTGCTCGGGAGGCCAAGGCGGGAGAATGGCGTAAACCCGGAAGGTGGAGCTTGCAGTGAATGGAGATCGCACCACTGCACTCCAGCCTGGGCGACGGAGCGAGAGGAAAAAAAAAAAAGAAAAGCTATCTGAGGAGAGTGCTACTGCCCACTGCACCCTGCATCCTCCCTGCATCCTCAGTCTTCTGCTCCACATGTGGAGTTCCAGGATATGAGCAGTAGAGTGGCAGGAGCTGGAGCAGAGGTGGTGTTGGGTGAAATTCACACAGTGGAATTTCACTTACGCAAATGCTCAAGCACTCGTGGGAGGTCAGAATTAGCTCTTTCTTGGGTTAGAATGAGCTATTTCAGTGAGATGTTAAAGTGTAAGCTCTTTCACCAAATAAATTGATGTGCTCAGGCAAGTGAAAGAAAGGGGTAAATCAGGGTTAGTGCTCGGGGGTCAGAGCTAATGACACAAGCTTCTCTCCTCCGGCCTGTGCATTTGAGATACATCTCAGGCACTTAAGCACAACAGTGCTAAGCTGGTATAAATTATATATATACACACATACGAATATATAAAAGCATATGATATGAATATTACATATATAAATATAAATTGTACCAATAAAATCAACACCAGGCTTATTTTTAATCATTTATTCAAAATACATTGAACAGCTACTGCGCAAAGTGCTAGGACTACTGAGAAGCTTAAGACAAAAATATGGGGTGTGATGGTGTGTGACTGTAGTCCCAGCTACTCAAGAAGCTGAGGCAGGAGGATGGCTTGAATTCAGGAGTCCAAGTTCAGCCTGAGCAACATAATGAGACCCAGTCTTTTAAAATAATAAAATAAAACGAAACCACAAACCTCAAACAAACAAAAAGACAAAATATGATTTCAATCATCGTGAAGCTCTTAATCTAGTAGATGAGTAATATATATAAATCAAAATATTACAATTTCAGAGAAGTGCTATAGGGCCTAATGTTTAACCACTTCTGGCGTTCAACTGACTGTGTTCAAAGCTCTGCCACCACTTTCCAGGGGTATAGATTGAGGCAAGTTATTTAATGTTTACTAAATTTCAGCTTCTTCATATGCAAGGGGGTTATAATAATACCTACCCCATGAGGGCAGTCTGAGGATTAAACGAAATAGTGTATGTATAGCCTTAGCTAATACTCATACATGTTGAGTGCTCAACCAGGTGTTAGCTATTAGATTTTAAAAGTTTATTTAATTTTTATGGTTTTGTTTGTTGTTGTTGCTGTTGAGACAGAGTCTTGCTCTGTTGCCCAGGCTGGAGTGCAGTGGCACGATCTCAGCTCACTGCAAGCTCCACCTCCCGGGTTCAACCAATTCTCTGTCTCAGCCTCCCGAGAAGATGAGATTACAGGCCTCCACCACCATGCCTAGATAATTTTTTTGTATTTTTAGTAGAGACAGGGTTTCACCATGTTGGCCAGGTTGGTCTTGAACTCCTGACCTTGAGATCCATTGCCTCGGCCTCCCAAAGTGCTGGGATTACAGGCATGAGCCATCAGGCCTGGCCTAGTTTTTTTTTTTGAAATGGAGTCTCTCACTCTGTCGCCCAGGCTGGAGTGCAGTGGTGTGATCTCGGCTCACTGCAACCTCCACCTCCCGGATTCAAGTGATTCTCCTGTCTCAGCCTCCCGAGTAGCTGAGATTACAGGCACACACCACCATGCCCGGCTAATTTTTTTTTTTTTTTGTATTTTAGTAGAGATGGGATTTCACCGTGTTGCCCAAGCTGGTCTTGAACTCTTCAGCTCAGGCAATCCACCTGCCTCGGCCTCCCAAAGTGCTAGGATTACAGGTGTGAGTCACTGCACCCGGCCACTATTTTTTATAGTTTTTAAGGTAAAATTTACATTCACTGAAATGTTACCTGCATATTTTTTGATAAGTGAATATACTTATGTAACTCACATCCCTATCAAGATAGAGACCATTTTTACCACCCAGAAATTTCACTCATGTACCATCCCAGTCAATTCCCTGCCATAGGGAACCACTGTTATGATTTTTTTCACCACAGATTAATTTTGTCTT